ATTTGGTTCAAGCAGGGTAAGAGTACATTTGTTCAATCAGGACATAGTGTCATTGTCATCGTTTAAGTGTTCCTAAATGATATGCAGGGTATCGAAATTATATATAATCGTTTTTATATATGACTTCCATTATCAATTAATTCAAAACACAGGCACAGAAACAAAATCTCTTGGAATCAGTCATTTATTTTGATCACATACTTAAACTACCCTTACTACCCTAAAACTTTTTTGATATCCGTAAAATTATAAGTTTAAAATAGTAAGATTATACATGTTAAAGGATTTGCAAACGCGTATCCCAGTCCCGTTTGATGCACCTACGATTGCTCTGTTCGACCAGATATTTCGGGGTTGCGTTAAATGAATATTTATCTCCCTTTATGACATTAATACTGATATATTACCTGTTCTAGTTCCCCCAGACCTTGAAGAAACACTATTTAGATGAGTAATCATGTCAGCTGCGGTCTGATAGTCTGTTAGTTGAAACTCAACAAAAACATCGTCAGTGAAGACAACAAATGCCACCCTTATGTTACCATTGTCAATGTCAACTTGTAGAGCCTGAATCACATTTTCTATCAGAGTCATAAGTTGTTGTATCTCAGTATCTGATAGTCCCTCAGACATGTCAGTAACCAGTGCAAGGTCTAAGCGAGGGTCTTTACACTCTGTCACAAAAGAGAATGATCTGTTATGGTTAACATCTGTATATTTATAATAAAGTTTTCATTTTCTTCAGGACAGGTGCGCTAATATCCGACATTTAAGAAATCAATTTGGTGTGGTCTTTGTTATACTACGGAAATTTTTGAACAAATAACTGTGTAAATTGGTAAGGTTTGTTCATAAACATGCAGTACCAATTGATCCAAATGCGAATGAACTGAATTGAAAACTATTATGATATTATATTTGGTGTATCTAATGTGAATAGTCATTTTAGCTTCCTCCATGATTAATATAGTAAAGCGTATGAACAAGTTCATTGCTTGTCTTATTGATTAAAATGCTGAAATAGAAACAAAACAAAATTACTACTTTTCAACTTTTAATGTTTTAATTAAACTAAACATCGAACTATAAATTGACTTTAATTAAAGTTGATATACTTACGACAGCAAAACAACTCGTGAGGTAATCTCGGCCGGACAACACCGTTACAGCAAACGTTCGATGTTGCATCAAATATATCCATACCACAACAACAGGTGTTCTCAAATATCATTTCATGTAAAATGCCATCGCATAGCTTTAGAGACGGCTGGAAATTCGACAACACATTACCATTGCTACAAGACTGATGTATAGTATCATATGTGCTGTCTCTACAACAGGCGGTATGATTGTTTGTAACGTCAAATATTGAACCATCACAGCAGAGTTGGCTTTCAGGATCATATTGTTGTCCACCACATCCTTAATGTTGTAAAAGATAAATACTTGTGACATATATACTTATGATATCAAAGTGAAAAAAAAATGATATATTCCTTTAATATACTTTTAATATAAAACGAAAAAAATCTTAACTTTTTTATATTTTGAAATAGAAAGGTAGAATAGCACAACATCCTAGCATTATACTTGTTGTTTAATTAAAGAAATAGGGTGCAAGTAAATAGGATAAAGAAATAATTTATTTTATCAATGTTTGTCTTTTAAAATATATTTACAATTTTTCGTAATATCAGCTTATTTTCTTAAGCATATTATGATGTGCATGATAAATAAATTGCTTCTTACTTGGTATATTGATCGTGTAGACTTCAACTTCACAAACATGCAGTACAGTCAATCCATTGATTTCCAGTTTCACGTATCTCGCCGATATGTAAGGGTTCAAATTAAAAACGGCTGTACTTCCGATTGGCCCGGGAAGTGTGATTTGTTGCCCTAGTGAACTAGTGGTATTGCCAGTGAAAAGAACGAGGTTCAGCATCTGTGCAGCTATGTGACCAAGCAAAGTATATTTCATTTAATTGAATTTTGAATATCAACTGCTACAATATTACACTTATTATTATATTAATTTTATGGTATCATGTTCAAGAATTGTTTTCATTGATGTCATCGTATCGTCTGTTAACATCAAATTTATCATATTATCTTCAAGAATAAAAAACAACAACGTAAGAGTGTCAGAAGAAAAAAAAACACGTGTTTAAGGTAAATTAGATCAAAGCATAACTACTACAATGGTTTATATACATGTTGGAGAAACTGGACTTGTATTTGTACCTAAGTAACAACCTGCTTGGTGAAAAACTTTCATTAAAACAATGACATTTTATACATATTCTTGTCAAAATTGTTTTCTGTAATGTTAAGTCTCGCCGACACTGTAAAGGTCATATAGATATTTTGTCTTCACAGGTGGAGCATGGCCTCGAGTTACTCCTCGCTAAACAATAAGGCATGAGCGGATTCCTTTGTAGAACCACTAACTTTTCGTCGGTCAGGTAAAATGCTTCCTTACATGAAATAATTAAACGTCGCTGGAGGAATTTGTTCCCCACAGCGGTAAGATAAAAGTGGATTAAAATCAGGGGCCTTTACCACTTTACAACACGGCCATTTTTTGTGTCGTCTACTCCAGAGTAGCGGCAACATAATGGAATCAGATCTCTGTCGTATGTCTCTCCGTCTGTCCGTAAGTCAAAAATCTTGTCTTATTTCACACTAACTATAATCAGGCGACACATGTGATCCTTGATCGCGCTTGTTATTAATAGATATGGATAAATCAAAAACATTTACAGCAGCAATCTAAACGGTTGTAAACTTTTATATGAGTAATCGTCTGCACAACTCCTAGATCTATCACAATAAATGGATTCTGTTGGTTCAGGGTCACTAAGCACGTGTTCAACTGAGCGTTCTGTGCATTACTTCCGTCCACAGCGTTCGCCGCTCCCCAGGGTCCATGAACACTTGATGCATATGTATTACTACCTATAGCTGCATTTGTGACACCTGAAATATAAATGTATCTTATAATACGCTTGAATAATTTTAAAATGCATACAGAATAGAATTGATTCATGACGGTTCTAAGAGTATTCTGTGTTTATCTGAAATAAGAAGGCATTTATACACTATTTCTTATTTAAAATCGAAATTGCCTTAGCAAAGACAAAAACCTGAAATAAGTCTATGCTATTTATAAAATATTGTAGTTAACATGCTTCCCGCATTAGTTCGAGCTCCACTAAGTGTAATTCATTTTTTGTTAACAACCATTCTTTATCTATTCGAATGGAAATACGCCATTTAGCTAAACTATAAGTATACTGTATTAAAATTCATATATTTTCTTTAAAGATATACTATGCTCATCCCTGTGTAAAATATTTAAAAAAATTATTGAAATCTAGGAAATTCTTACTTAATATCTCTAATTTGAATAAAATAATGAAAAAGAATGTATCGGAAGCTGCGTCAAGTAAAGTTGGTCCTTTCAGACTTAAAAAATATAGATCTAACTTGAAATGAAATTTAATAAAATATTTTAATGAAGTAAACAACGGCTATATTAGGTTGTTTCCATATCATAATGGTCGATTAACGTAAAAGTTGTAACATAGAAGCTATATGATATTTCACACTCATGAATATTGTACGTAAACAGAATGAGATATTCCGTAACAGAATATTATTCTGCTATTTTTAAGTGCCATTGTAATCGCTTAGCAATGTTTTCGTGCAATTTATTCGAATACATATATGTCATCATTCTTTTCCAAAATTCAAAAGATGATTTTGCAAACAGCAGATATACATGTATAATTATATACCTTCATTTTCAACTTTAAATTATGTTAAGTTTAGGCTAAAATGAAATTGAATGACACTAAGTTAACCAAAACCTTTGATCTTTTGTTAGTAGAAATGTAAACTATGGAAAAAAACGCGCCTACCTTGCTCACAATAGATTCCACCAAATCCATTTGGGCATGCGCAAAAGGCACCGGAAGCGGTGTCTGTACATGTAGCTCCATTTTGGCACGGTGATTGCGCACAGGTAACAGCTAAATTGATTAAGATTGAATGAAATACGGCGTTAATAATAATTATAATAAACCAAATGATAAAAATGGAAATTAAAACTCACAGTAGAACCCCCGAGTTTAGATGTATTCAGAAGGTATGAAGCACTTCAGTGAGGTATGAATAACTTGTTTACAGAATGTTCGTTATAAAATCGCATACACATATTTATAGTTACTATGATGCTTGTGACGTTTACAGAATTTTAAAGATGAATATTCACAAGAAATATACGACTTAGAATATTATTGTTTACAGGTTTATTAAAAGGTGAAGATTGACCTATTATATTCGTACCTGATATTTCATCGTCATAGAATGAATATCATAACAAGTATATGAATATATGTTTTACCCGCTCAATATAAATTTTGCTTCATTTATTCTATTACTTTGCATGACACTTGATAATTCAAACATTTTAACATGCACCGAGTAATTGTATAAACTCAATAGTGAACTTATATGGAGTTTTTATATTCATTTCATCTAATATATCAGTCATTCTGTAAATGTTGCTGGAGGGATAAGTTAATAAACACTGAATCATAATGTAAAATAGATTTATATACATGTATCTTTATATTGAAGTTTTAAATCAGTGGTTTTAAAGGGGCACTTGTAGATTTCAAACATTTTGACAACTGCCATTTCAAGTTTATATGGTGGTGTCTTTTTCGTCAATTTTTTCAGCCACGAGCGATAAACTGATCTGAAACTTAAAGTTAGTCGGAAAGCTTCCTCGTATGAAAGAATCAAAACTCCTTATCAGAATTTGAAAACACAACAGTGAGGAGTAAATGATTAGAAATGGGCTTCTTAAGTTGTTTTATTTTATAAATTAGCAAAAATAAAAAATAGAATTTTGAAAAAAGTACCTGTAGTAGTTGTACCTGTAGTAGTCATACCTGTGGTAGTTGTACCTGTATTTGTCGTACCTGTAGTAGTCATACCTGTGGTAGTCGTATCTGTATTTGTCGTACCTGTGGTAGTTGTACTCGTATTTGTCGTACCTGTAGTAGTTGTACCTGTATTTGTCGTGCCTGTGGTAGTCGTACCTGTGGTAGTCGTACCTGTAGTAGTTGTACCTGTAATAGTCGTACCTGTAGTAGTTGTATCCGTATTTGTCGTACCTGTGGTAGTCGTGCCTGTGGTAGTTGTACCAGTTGTAGTTGTACCCGTGGTAGTTGTACCAGTTGTAGTTGTACCTGTAGTAGTTGTACCCGTATTTGTCGTACCTGTAGTAGTCGTGCCTGTGGTAGTTGTACCCGTATTTGTCGTACCTGTGGTAGTTGTACCAGTATTTGTCGTACCTGTTGTAGTTGTACCTGTGGTAGTTGTACCTGTTGTAGTAGTACCTGTGTTAGTTGTACCTGTTGTAGTCGTACCTGTAGTAGCTGTCCCTGTAGTAGTCGTGCCTGTGGTAGTTGTACCAGTGGCAGTTGTACCTGAAGTAGTCGTGCCTGTGGTGGTCGTACCTGTGGTTGTAGTGCCTGTAGTAGTCGTACCTGTGGTTGTCGTACCTGTGGTAGTTGTTCCTGTGGTAGTTGTTCCTGTGGTAGTTGTACCTGTGGTAGTTGTACCAGTATTTGTCGTACCTGTTGTAGTTGTACCTGTGGTAGTTGTACCTGTTGTAGTAGTACCTGTGTTAGTTGTACCTGTTGTAGTCGTACCTGTAGTAGCTGTACCTGTAGTAGTCGTGCCTGTGGTAGTTGTACCAGTGGCAGTTGTACCTGAAGTAGTCGTGCCTGTGGTGGTCGTACCTGTGGTTGTAGTGCCTGTAGTAGTCGTACCTGTGGTTGTCGTACCTGTGGTAGTTGTTCCTGTAGTAGTCGTTCCTGTGGTAGTTGTACCAGTGGTAGTCGTACCTGTAGTAGTTGTTCCTGTGGTAGTTGTTCCTGTGGTAGTTGTACCTGTGGTTGTAGTACCTGTAGTTGTTGTACCTGTAGTGGTCGTACTTGTGGTAGTACCTGTTGTAGTTGTACCTGTAGTAGTCGTGCCTGTGGTAGTCGTACCTGTGGTAGTCGTACCTGTGGTAGTTGTTCCTGTAGTAGTCGTTCCTGTGGTTGTTGTACCTGTGGTAGTCGTACCTGTGGTTGTTGTACCTGTGGTTGTTGTACCTGTGGTAGTTGTACCTGTGGTTGTTGTAACTGTGGTAGTCGTTCCTGTGGTAGATGTACCTGTGGTAGTCGTACCTGTGGTTGTTGTACCTGTGGTTGTTGTACCTGTAGTGGTAGTACCTGTGGTTGTTGCACCTGTAGTAGTTGTACCAGTGGTTGTCGTTCCTGTGGCAGTTGCACCTGTAGTAGTTGTACCAGTGGTAGTCGTACCTGTGGTAGTTGTACCAGTGGTAGTTGTTCCTGTGGTAGTCGTTCCTGTGGTAGTTGTACCTGTAGTAGTCGTACTAGTGGTAGTCGTTCCTGTGGTAGTTGAACCAGTGGTAGTTGTACCAGTGGTAGTCGTACCTGTGGTAGTTATACCTGTGGTAGTTGTACCTGTGGTGGTTGTACCTGTGGTAGTTGTACCTGTGGTTGTCGTACCTGTGGTAGTTGTACCAGTGGTAGTCGTACCTGTGGTAGTTGTACCTGTAGTAGTCGTACCTGTTGTAGTTGTACCAGTAGAAGTCGTACCTGTAGTAGTCGTTCCAGTAGTAGTCGTACCTGTGGTAGTTGTACCTGTAGTAGTCGTACCAGTGGTAGTTGTACCTGTTGTAGTTGTACCTATGGTAGTTGTACCTGTGGCAGTCGTACCAGTAGTAGTTGTTTCTGTGGTTGTCGTACCCGTCGTGGTCGTATCAGTTGTAGTCGTTCCTGTGGTAGTCGTACCTGTGGTAGTTGTACCTGTGGTTGTCGTACCTGTAGTAGTTGTACCTGTGGTAGTCGTACCTGTGGTTGTTGCCGTGCCTAAACCTAGAGCGTTCGTGATACCTGTGGTTGTTAAAGAAATAGAACTGAATTGTCAGAATGTCGAGATATACTCGAACAAAGTAATTAACGGTTTATACATTATGTGAACATAGAATAGGTCTGGAAGTTTTATACAAACATTTACTAAGGCGGAACAAAAGGTATTCATGCATATATTTCAATAGAATAATGGTTTTTTTTTTACCTTGGTTTAAAAAGCTGCGGAGGGTTTTTTTATAAAAGAATTTAAGCAATAAAAGTAAGTTGACAGTCATAAAGCATCAAATTTGTTGTGAGAGCTGCGTGATCGCAAAATTGTTACAAATTATTTTGACCGAAGTATCAGTATGCCACGTCACCATTTGAATCGAAATGAGAGTCAAAGACTGCTCGGGATTCTGCTTGGGGGCAACGCCCAACATTTTGTGGCCCAGCAATTCACCGTTTCACATTGTGTCATTTGTCGATTGTCGACATTAAAACTTAGGATGTTCTTCGGCGACCAGGTAACAGGTCGTCTACGTGTACGTGATGCCCAGGACGTCAGTTGACACTGGCTGCCCGATGCCGCCATTTTAACTCTGGTGTTACCCTTGCCTATGCATGAGTATCGTATCTTTGTTCAAATGCTGACAAATATACTTTATGCTTCCGGTTTGCATGCGCGAAGGCCAGCTGACCCCAAACCATCGTTAAGACCGCCGACAGTTTCTTTATCTGCACGTGCATATGGGGCGTCAATTTGTGCGTTACTTCTTTTTACAGATATTAAAACTTTCATAATAGATGATACAGAGTTTTAGCATGTTTTAAAGAACTACTGTTAGTTTCGTCGAAGAAATGTCACTGCTAAAACCAACAGTAACTTGTTCCTGAAAATGACAATCTAGTCTGTTTGCTTCAGTTTTCTATAAACTGAATTTACTACAGAGTCGCGCTATCAAGTTTGCTACAACTTTTCATATTTCTATGGTGTCCTGTGTGAGGCAGTTAAAATATTCACCTGTTCAGGTGCAATATTGACATAATATTTTTTAAAGAACTCGAATATTCGGAGAATAGTGAGAACTATTGTTCAAAACCTGGCGTCAGTGTCTCAGAAACTCTTGTAAGGAATGGGTTTAAACTTCACATACTTGAGGGCATTATCGGCGGTCACAATCCGAGGCCCATAATTTTAACATATGGATTTTTACAGAACTATGACACTTTTTGAACCTAGACAATTCTACATTTTCTAGGCTCTTGTTTTACTATCAAACACTATGAATAGTCGACCACATTTCTCTTATGAAGAACTTTGGCTGTAATTATTTAACGGTACTGTATAATAAGCTCCCGGTCTCGAAAGAAACATATGAGAATTAAGGTTAATCATCACGAAGCGATTATGATTTTTGCGAGGATTAAAATTAAACATGCGACAGACTCAACGTTATATGGTGCTTCGGGTTTCAGGCGTTAAATCTCAATGTTTATCTGTAAAAATACAAAAGGGCGAAACAACAGTTGCAGGTCAATAGGTGGCATTTAACTCAGCCACCGAAATAGGTATGAAGGTAAGAAGACACTTTCTGAATAGTTTTGCTGGGGGTATAATCGTATAATATGTACTAGCATAAAAATGTTCCACTGCAAAAAGAAAGTTTCGATTAAACAAGACAAGTTTGCTTCTTTAAAAATAAGTATGCAAGAGGTATTTTTACAGCTGTGGAAGATTTGTTTAATTGTTCAAATAGTGCACAAGTAAGAATTGCTGTCAAATTGAATCTGCATATGAACATATCGGCTATTTGCGTCAGTCTACGGATAAGTTCTAAGTAGGATAAATCGGCGAGGCATTCTTAATTTAAAGGAGCACTCGGTGCTATTGTAGCGTAATTGTTTACTGTTACTAATTTTCGAAACATGAATTAGTAAAACGCTATTCAGAAAACAATAATCAATTTATACAGTTTAAAGGAGAACCACTGTATGTAACGTAAATGATATTTTCGCGATTTTTTCCTTTACCGATTTGTATACCTCGGTTTAAGTTCAGTCATATTTTGAAGCAGAGAATGCGCATAACACTTTTTGGTAGACTGCTTCTAATGATTTTAGGCTTTAAATGAGATTCGTTAGTTAAAAAAAGATGACCCCAGCAATCATTCTCTACACTATGGAGAGGTCTGATGACCTCACCAATAATTTTGCATATGATGTGATACCCACAAAAGGTATACTACGGTGAACAGTCAGAAAAAAAATCACTTTTTTGAATCAAACAAAAGATGATTAAAATCACTATGATCAAATTAAATGATTTCTCACATTACAAAAGACAATTCAACAAATATCTATTAATTCTATTATCAATGTTTTATCAATACAAATTTCTTTCATCTATTCTATCATTCATTTCCTACAAACAAAATAAAACTGTACATACCTATCTGAAGCACAATAGCAAGTAAGCACAGTAGGGGTTTCATCCTGACTCGTGTCATCTTGAAACACCTTTGAAAGTTTCAGACCCAGGTCCACGTATATATAGAACAGATCTACCTACGTAATTTACACCATAAACTGTTATTATGGCTATTAAATCCAACATTACGCGTTAGTTAAATGCACGTAATGGGGAATATGGGCGTGATTTGTCTGAAATGGCTTTTATCAGCACCAAGTTTGGCCATACTTGCAGAGATAATCACCATATATATGCTAAGTTTATGTAACACGTGCGCTGAAATGTCTTTTTTGAAACATTATGTTGGTGAAATATTTACCTTAACATATATTAAATATAAATATTATTTGGTTTCAAAGCAAAACCTGTCTGAGACATTTCAATATTCTGAACATTTGCATAAACAATGCACATTTGGTAAATATTTTAATTATTTAACAACGGTATTGGACACACCCGCTGTAATATCTACTGCATTTGCATAACTTTTGAAAATGGTAACATATGCATAGGTTGTCTTTGACATAATGCAATCATCAGATATATACTATCCAGAATGCGAGATACTTTAAATGATAGATATTTATTTTTTGTATTTCTTATAAATAAAGAAATCCCCAAACCCCCCTCACACACCCTCCAAGGAAAAACAACAACTCATGGCTTAGTAGTTACATTATTGCAAAACATTCCATCTCATACACCCATATAACGTTGTTTAACTTAAAGCGGCCTTTAGCTTTTCTAAAGGTTAACTATGTTATTGTAGATAAATCGTTTCATATAATAGTCAAGTCAAAAGAATCAAGATGTAAAATGAAATTGGTCTCTGATAAAATACGAAAACATTAAGAAAAAAATAGAGAAAATAAGAATCCCTAAAAAAGCCCAACACGACAAATTGAAAATATTGCAGGCTCAGTTTGATTGAGCCTGTTCATGGACGGTACTGTCAAGTGCATACTACCGTCCACGCACCCTAGCACCGGCTTAAGCAGAATTCAACATTTAACATGAATTGCTACAATTTTGAATTTTGAAACATCCGCAGATGTGTATTCATATGGCGGTTATCATGGAACCTTCAATGTGCCATTCCATGAAAAGCGGCATATGGTCCCCAAGTAAAAAAATGCCTTTGCCCTAAACGAGAAAACAATGGGCGGAACTAAATAAAATGGAATTTTGAAAGGGGATCAGAGGTTATGAAGCCTGCATATCACAGATAAGACGTCAAAAGACAAATTTAAAAAGCAGGCCACATATCCTAAGGGTAATTCAACAGTATTCAAGTGAGGAATACTGGAACCACCCAACAAGAGAATAGCCGAAAAGAAAGAACTAAATTACCACAAGCACAACAATAATGTCGTGCTGAACGATTTTTAAGGATCGGAAATATAACATCTCTGATTGAATGTACGGGGCGACATTTTACAGCCTCCACACGACACAAACAACACTGATGTGGCGATAAAATAGAGAAAATAAGAATCCCTAAAGAAAGCCCAACACGAAACAAATTGAAAATGTTTGCAGGCGGTCGGTTTGATTGAGCCTGTTCATGGACGGTACTGTCAAGTGCAAAACTACCGTCCAAAGCCCTCGAAACCCCTAATCTACTGGTCCACTCTCTATATGTAAATTAGTAAAGGACGATTCGTTTCCCAATCTGCTATTTAAAAAACGGACGTCACTGCGCGACGCTATAAATAGCTCTCGGTGCGCTTCTCGAGACTTAACAGTGAAATGATGCACTTTTCCTAGGTAATATAACTGAAATACTAAGTTTTGAAACAGGACATAATTTTATAAAAGCTGAAGGCCGCTTTATAGTAAATAGTTTTTTAAATATCTTTGGATTTACTGAAGAGAGTAACATTTTACCTCGAGATAATATGCCTCTTTAAAAAAATATGATAAACAAGATCAACAAGGAAAGGCGGCGTTCAATAAACGCAACCCCTACCCGACCCAGCAACAAGAGCCAGTGGCAAGGAGCCCAGGACTCCAAACAATATTTTCGACTGTTTCCCTCGCGTGCTCTGACGTCCCTGAAAATTCCACTTCTGACGTCATAGAGGATTTCCTTGAAGCGTCCTTTGATCTTGATCATAAACCAGACGTGACGAGACATAGTTAAAAGAATGTTAATTGAGAAAGTTTAATTATTAACATATTTGCAAAACTATTTTCTTGTTCCTTTTTTCTTTTGCATGTACTTTTAAAACAGTAATTGATCGGGTAATAAAACAGTTATTTCATATGTGATTTAAGAACAGTAAAAATAGTTGTCCCTTGGTGTCGGTTATAGTGTTTTGAACTGTTGCCCTCGGCCTACGGCCTTGGGCAACAGTTCAAAACACAATCCCCTCCACCTCGGGCCAACAGTTTGACTGTTCCCATAACAAATATAAAATAACTGTATACTGTTGCCTATGTGAGACACAGGTAGTAGCCAATCCTAAATTATTTATAGTGCAATATGGACAGTGTCTTAAAGACCAGTTTATGCAAAATTGGCAATTAAAGTGTCTAGAAAATGTAAAATTAAATCATTATGTTATGTTTAAGACTACCTTTAAAATTAAAAAATATATTTCTGTTATAGATATCGACAAGTTTAGAAAGTGTTCTGCTAGTTAGAAGCTCTTCACATTGTTTAATGGTTGAAAAGGGTAGACATTTTAATATTGACATATAACATCGTGATTGTATGTATTGTGAATCAATGTTAGAGGACGAATATCACTTTCTTATTGTGTGTTCTTTATATGCAAATTTACGTTCTTACTATATACCATTGTAATATTTATCAATATCCGAATGTTGAAAAGTTCTACTCTTTGATGGCAACTGAAGACGAGTCATAGATACCTAATGTTGCTATGTATATTTATTATGCAATGAAAGAAAGAGATAATTTCCTTAAATGTTTTGAATAATATATGCAGATTTTACTTTATAATTGTATTAGAAATTTGACCATTACTCTATCTCAAACAATGCTAATTTGTATTGTATATTGTATACACTGTGTATGTTTATATTTTGCTGTTTATAAATTTTATGTAAGTATTTATCAGATACAGTTATATGCTTTAAGTTTAGAATATAACGTA